GTGTAGCTTTGTGCTTAATTGCAAATAAACAATAAGCAATGAAGTGGTAATAAGTACTATTAATTTTTAATTCGTTAGGAACTTCCTTTAATTCTTGTTTGCTTGTTATATGTGTAAGTTTAAGTTAGATAGCTCAGGCTGGTCTGACAGACTCTCACTTACTTGTTGTTCAGGAGTTGGTTTTAGCTGTGGGCAGTTTCCCCAGTTGATTTCCTGGAAATGATAAATATTTACATTTTTAGAAATTTGAAGCTCGAAAAGCTAGATATAAATATAGTTTCAATTCCTAAAACGACTAGCTCTGTGTTTGGGTTTTATATGAAAAAATAAAGTTAAGTAGATTTTTTTCTTTTTTTGCAGTCTTGCTATATTAATGGAAGTTGTTTGAAAAAGTCTATGGTTATTCCGTAAATACAGAAACAAAACACTATCATTTTGTTTCTCCGTTACGGTAAGAAGAAATAGGCTTAAGTATAAAACGTTTATAAATATTTAATATTGCAACTTTCTTTGGAATTTATGAATGATAAGATTTGGATACTCTATCAGTAGGATACAATATTTTATTCGCGCGTATCATAATGAACATCCCAGTATTAGTTCATGGATTGGATGTTTGTTTACTTATCATTTCTCATGTTTATCAAAATGATCTATTTTGATTTTCATTGGTTTAAATTTTTTTTTAATTTGAAGAATTAAGTGTAAGAATTAATAAAACAAGTAAAATGGAAACAATTAAGTGGCTTTATAATTTGAAGGTTTTTTTTTATCTCCAGAGATGTAACAAAGAAAACACCTCACAGTAAGAGAAGGAACCACCAAATAGATGGGATTCTAAAGTTACTCTTATTATGCATCGACATATACAAAGCGCGATTTTATTTTTAGCTGTAACGGAACCTTCAAACCTCATCTCCAGAATTTGGCACGCCATCTGTGGTAACGTGTTTTTATAATATATATATCAGGGTCTCAGATTTGGACCCTAATGCTCTACCAACCGAGCTAAAGTTTAATACAATAAAAAGTATATAATAATAATAAAGTACAATCAGAGTATTTTGCAAATAACTTGATATAGAAGCAAATGCAAACTGTGGGTTATGTATGTATCATGTAAAAGTAAAAGCAGATATAAACATAGATATGGTACTTAGTTCAGAAATTTCCATCTAGATTGATAGTTTCTTCAATCATTTACACAAACTATCATCATCAGTGATAGATAATACAGTGAGTTAATCAGCGACAAGGAACTTGAAAAAGAAATGTTTTTCGTATGGAAGTCGTGTGACTTATACTTGAAGTCTTGTGACGAGTATACTTCAATTAAAAATAAATTCTCAGAAAAAAAATGTCTATTCAGGTATTCATTTAACTGTAAAGATCTCTGTTACTTCAAATTTGTGTTTTACATGCTTATTACTTGTTGGTCTAGCTAACAGTCTATGTTTTCCAAAACTATTGTTATACATTTAAAATAATAGAAGAAATTGAAGTTATGGTAGAAAAATATATGGACAAAATAAAGAATTATACATGTATATGTTTTTGCAATATATATTTAAAATAAGGCTTATAATACACACACCCTTGAAACCAAATGAACAAGACTAATTATTATAAAATATCAGTGTTACATGCTAAATGAACAGAACAAATTAGGATAAACTCTCAGTATTACATGCTAAATGAACAGAACAAATTAGGATAAACTCTCAGTATTGCATGCCTAATGTGCAGGAAAAGTTACGATAAGCTTTCACTTTTCCTGTTAAATGTACAGGAAAAGTTAAGACAAACTTTCAGTTTTACACGCCAAATGAGCAGAATAAACTTGAATATATTTCAGTATTACACGCAGCCGTAGATGGTGGGAGTTTCTGCCATTAGTGCAATCGAGTACAATACCCATTTTAGAGGTAGTCTTATATCAATGACATCGCAGGGTACATATAAGTCGTAGCGAACCAATCATACTTGTTTTAATAACCACAGATAAGTTAGATTAGTGAAAGTGTTGTTAATTCTGCTATCTGGAGAGATTCACGCACTTTTTAAAATAAAGTTACGTACTATTTAAAAATTATGGAATATTTTGTTAAAGATTTATTGTTACCATATCTACTTAATGGTGTTCTTCAATAAAATTAGAATTAAGGTTTTTGTCTTTTAATAGAAAAACAATAATTCGTATGCTTTGAAACAGTCATAAAACTCAAGTTTGAGATAACAAGTTTACTTTAAGAGAAATAAAGAACTTACACGAGCAGTCTCGGACTCTTGAGAGTCAGCAGTTACAGCCATCAGAACACAAACCATTACAGCCAAATGGAGAAGTTTCATCTTTGTAGTATTATGGGAATTGGACTCTTCAAAACAATCCTGATTCCAGACGGAGAAGACAGATATTTATAAACATTCTGCGACCAATCATAAGCTACCGTTTGAAAGCACATTTGGCTAGATGATATGACGTCATACGGTGACAGTAAATTGCCGAATCAGAATGTGATACATTTGAACATGAAAAGCTGGTAATTTAGTTGGAAGGTGGATTCTTGTTTTCAAGCCTTCATCATCTGACACGTATCAGAGCTATGAAAAAAAGATATTTCCACTCTTGGTCTAACACAGACGCTAAAAGCGTGTTGAAATAGTTTATAGGTCACCTTTAAAATGTCTGTTTTAATGTTTTTGAACATACCAGTTTTTAAAATAAATTACTAAAAGTTCTTGAAAAGTTAGCAACAATTCAAATATTGATCTTTATGCTCTTTTTTCCTTGCTTTTGGTCAACATATAACTGAATGTTTCCTTCATAGTGTATCTTGCTTTCTTTCTGAATATTTAGGCCAGGCGTGAATTAATGGTTAACATGCCGGACTGTGAACCCAACTGTCCATGGTTCGCGTCTCGTTGTGCAAAATCCCGTCCTGCGCAGTTATAAGAATGACGATCAAATCCCACTATTCGACTAGAATAGCCCAAAGTTGGCATTGGGTGCTATTGATTAACTGCTTTCCCTCTAGCAGATTAGTTCAAAATTAGGGACGGCTAACCCAGATAGCCCTTGTGAACAAACTTTCTAAATGTATATAAATATATACTTTCAGAAAAGTGAAAACTATGTGTTGCCAGAGTATTAAATGTTATTGCCATAGTTCTGAATGTAATAACCTAAACACATTTAAAAGGTATTTAACCAGCCAGGTTAGTCTATTAGAATATTAGATGCCGATGTATGTTGAGTGGAAGTATGTATTTTATGCTGGAATATTTCTTGTTATAAAGTTATCCTTGATAACTGGACTGGACATGGTGTAGTGGTTAACATGCAAGGCTGCGGATCGGAAAGTCTAAGACTTTCAACTTTGGGGTCTTTATAATTATGACATTCAGTTCTGTTTTTGTTTTTTTTTTTGGTTAAAGTAACCGTGTAGGCAACGGCTTCTTCTGTCTGGTTGCTCTACCTTTGGTCAGCAGTTTTGAATTAGGGATGGTTATTCCTGTACCTCGAGGTTTTTTTACATGGTCGTTTAGCCCATGTGTCGTGTAATGAGCAAATCAGGTTGAAATAATCAAATATCAAATGTGATATAATTCGATCCGGAAAACAAAAATCGAAGATTAGTTAACTTTGTTAGAAAACTTAAATGCTAATACACCCGTACTTGTTTTTTTTAATACTACCTCTTAAAGAATATTTATCAGTAAGACTCAATAATTTTGGCTACTTTTTTATAATTTCAATTTCAAACTCTGTTTCGCCTGAGTTTAATGCACCAACCGAACCAAAAATAGAATAAAACAACAACAACAACAACAACACAGGACTTGGCTTTTATCTGAAGTTTCAAGTTCGATTGGATACATAAGGATTATAGCCAAACACAGCCTGTGAGTTATTGAAGTAAAAATTAGACATATTGAAGTAATCTCCCGACATAGAAGACTTAAACCAAACCCCATACGAACAATTTCATTTCAATAACAACAATAATACAATATTAATCTGGCCGGGTAGTTAGTACGCTCGACTTGCCATTTGCGATTTGCGAGCTCGAATCCCAGTCACCGAACATGCTCGCCATTTCAGCCATGGGGACTTTATAATGTGATGGTCAATCCCACTATTCGTTGGTAAAAGAGTAGCCCAAGATTTGGTGGTAGCTGGTGTTGACTAGTTGCTCTCCCTTTAGTCTTTCACTGCTAAACTAGAGGCGGATAGCGCAGATAGCCCTCAGGTAGCTTTACGCGAAATTCAACCAAACAACGTTTACCACTAATATTTTTTTCCATCAAATGACTCTTTAACCCATTTCAGTCAATGCAAAAAGCAAAGAGCTAACATCTTTTTAAACCGATTAAAAACAACAAACTAAAACTTTTATTTTATAAACTTTCTATACACAGGCAGGTGTGACCAGTTTGTCGGTGCTTCGTTTCATGAATTATTTCGTCTTTAAAAACATCGTTCACCGTTGCTTCAAAAGAAAAATATATCAATAACATAATGTAAAAAAAAAGTTTGTTCTATTCATTGTCAGGTTAGGCAAAATAAATTATTTCCACTAATTTGAATTAACTTAGGTTTTATTGTAAGACATTGCAAACATTTAAATGTTATGTTCGATATAAGACTTTAAGCGTAATACACCGTTCAGAGAGAAACAATGAAAATAACCATTTGCTTCTTTTGCCTTGATTATCTAGACAGTAAAAGAAACAAAGACAGTATACTCCAGCCTTGAAATAAGCACTGTCTGAAGATACCAAGTAACGAGAATTTTATAATCTAAATACTGCTGTCTGGTTTCACAAATCACCGACTATAATCATATACTACGAACTAGTTTCATCTTTACCATTACTAAATGTCTTTCTTTATCACAATGCCATCCAAACCGGTGCATCTCTAGCTGAACTGCTACCTTCTACGCTAGATGGCAGTTTTTAATTTTTTCTCCAAATTCAGGTAAAGCTATTACTGGCATTTTCTAGTATGATGTCACTACAAGACTCAGTTTATTGTTCTTTATTCAGTTTCCTTTCGATAATTTAAAGTATAATAGATTTTAACACCAAAGTAAGAAACGTTTCAACAATTATTTTTTGAAACTGTTATACTGATGGGCCAGAGCTTTGTTTGATTACTTATAATACGAACATCTGGCCTTCGATCCTTGATGTGGGAACAACATATATGACCCATTTCAGGGTTGTGCTTACGAACTAACAGATCTTTTGTACTAATTATGAAATAACCAGTATGAATCCAGACTTAAATAAAAGAATAATAAGAGAATACACATTACTCTCTCTCTCTCTTTATTGAATCTTTTCCTCTTCTTTTTCAATTTTGTCAGTCTTCAAATTTCTTGTTCTTACCTTCTTGTTCAGTAGTTTTTCTAACATCTTATGAACATTGAAGTTGAGAAGCAGCGGGTGATATTTCCCTTTATTTTTGATGCCACGTTTTTTAATCCTTCGTTTTGCACGACATTTTTAATTTATTTACTTTAGTTCAATTGTTTTTGTACATAAAATGTTACACTGTTGTTCCTTTTATCCCAGTTTAAACCATAATTTTGATTTTGTAGTGAGACTATTAAGTAGAGAGTTTTCTTTCAACAAATTATATATGGATTTTTTAAAATTTAATATTAAGTACAAATTAGTTTTAACTAAGATGTATAACATTGATAATAATGCATAACTTTCGTTATCCTAGCCTTACACAAACCTAAGCATTCTACCTATGATATTCATCATTTTATTTAAATCTAACGTAACTTATATTGAGTCAGCTGTACCATTATGAAAGCATGAATCGGTTAATTCACACTTAGTGATGCTGAATAGAAATATCATAATACTGTTTACTAGCAGAAACGCAGCCCTATGGGTAGCTGTTCGGTGAGGATCTTAGCAAGTTAAACTGTGTGCTTCTCTGTCACGAAATTGTTCCTGTCTTCGTCTATCTGTATCTTGGCGAACAAACTGATGTGCTTCTGTAGTTCTGGTTTGTTCCTGACTTCTTCTCCCTGGATCTTACATCATAACTTGGAGAAAAGTTTGATGTGCTTCTGTATTTCGGGTTTCTTCTCCTTGGATCTTGTCTCATAACTTGGTGAACAATTTGACGTGCTTCTGTAGTTCGAGTTTGTTCCTGACTTCTTCTCCCTAAATCTTGTCTCATAACTTGGTGAACAATTTGATGTGCTTCTGTAGTTCTGGTTTGTTCCTGACTTCTTCTCCCTGGATCTTACATCATAACTTGGTGAAAAGTTTGATGTGCTTCTGTATTTCGGGTTTCTTTCCTTGGATCTTGTCTCATAACTTGGTGAACAATTTGATGTGCTTCTGTAGTTCGAGTTTGTTCCTGACTTCTTCTCCCTAGATCTTGTCTCATAACTTGGTGAACAATTTGATGTGCTTCTGTAGTTCGAGTTTGTTCCTGACTTCTTCTCCCTAGATCTTCGTGAACAAGCCTATCTCTTTCTTGCTCTTTCTTTCTGTAACTTGCATCCTGACGTTTCATTTTCATTCTCAAAGTTTCATACTTTTTCCGTGATAAGTCATTTTTACGTTTGGTAATTTTTGGCATCGTTTTTGATCACTTTATACTATTACTGAAGTAAAAACAAAATACTTGTGTAACTTACTATAAAATTCCTGCAAATTTATATGAAACGAACTCCGTACGAGGGACTTGCAATTCTTTCGGTCACAGAACAATCTAATTGACAGCGTACGCTTGGATTCCCCAGCAGAAAAAGTCACTTTTCTTCTGAAATATCACAATGATTCGCCACTAAGAAGACTCACTTTAAAGTCCCCCAGTGGCACAGCTGCGGATTTCCAAGGCTAGAAACCGGGTTTCGATACCCGTGGTGGGCAAAGCACAGATAGCCCATTGTGTAGCTTTGTACTTAACTACAAACAAACTCACTTTGAAATTTGGCATTAAATTCACCTTACCACAGTTTTAGAAGTTTTTGTTAAAAATATTAATTTCGTTGATAATAATAAATGTAGAAAATTAATGTACATTATTAAAATGGAAAGAAGTACCATTTCTCCGTTAAGGAAGCGATTTACGAATTTTTTTTTTAAATAAGGTCCTAGTACGTTTCTGAATTTTAGTGGGGGTCTGTTTTATAACATTTTTTAATTTGGTGCAATATAAAACTGTTATTGACTTATTTCTTAAAAAAAAAAGTGGAAAATGCATTAAATAAACTTTTATTTATAAGAGATACTATTGTAATGAAACTTTGTTAGGAAGTTTCCCTTATGACGTTGAAAACTCATGAGAAATTTCATCCAAATCGGACAGACTTATAGATATATAGTTGAAG